CTAAATGAATGAATAAAATTAGACGTCTTATTAAAATACAACACATGAGTTAAGAGCTGTCCTTGGCATTTTCCTAAAGAGGAAGCAAGTTTTCAAATACTTGGAATATTTAGCAACGTTGCTTTTGATGTCCAGAACTATGTTTACAAAAGATATCCTAAACTATTGGCTTTTGTGTTCTGCAAAAATATGAAGAATGCTTTTTCAGAGGTACTCACCAAACATGGGGTCTCTTTTGATCTATTTCATAACCTTTAGATCTTATTCTTCTTTCTGAGCAGGTCATGGAGATCAAAACACAGAATGTTCCCAATGATTTTCCTCTGGTTGCTGATCAAAACCAGACTTGCTTTGTTTTCAGAAACTATAACCTATATATTGTTCCTTTTATGGCAGTGATGGTTATATACTAATGTTGATGCGTAAATAAATCCTGATTTAAAATGAGTTTTCTTGACTGGTGTTTTAAAACTGTTTCAGTCAAATCCACTCTACCAAGAATTCAAGAAAACACCTTTCTTTTACCAACTGAATAAAATTATTTAAGTAGCGGTGCCAAGGAATTAGCTGGAGGTGTCCATATACAAGACATTTGCTCTTTTGGAGAAGATATTTACCTTGGTTTTCTTGTTTTCTCCAAAACACGGAGTTGTGAATTCCCATCCAAAAATTTCCCCTAAGTAGTTAATGTGCTAAGTAGTTACTTGTACACATTTCTGCATAACTCAGTATGGTTGAAATTGGGTTTTGCATTGGGAGGCATTCTCTATCCAAGCATTTGTTGTTGCATCTGGAAATACTGTATTCTATATCCCTTGAGTTTGTTTATTTTAAGGACACGGGTCTTAAAAGAGTTCTTGTGCAGCTGAGATTCAAAAATGTCTCATATTTGCCAAAAAATAGACTTATTTTTGGAAGGTTCCATGGGAATACCCCCTACAGCGTGAGCCATCCTGGCAAATAGATGGGGAAGAAATGTAGGTAGTGACATATTTTATTTTCCTGGGCTCCAAGATCACCGCAGATGGGAACTGCAGCCAAGAAATTAAGAGACACTTGCTCCTAGGAAGAAAGTGATGGCAAATCTAGACAGCATAATAAAAAGCAGAGACATCACCCTGCCGACAAAAGTGTGTATAGTCAAGGCTATGGTTTTCTCAGCTGCACTGTATGGCTGTGAAAGTTGGACCGTTAGGAAGGCTGAGCGCCAAAAAATTGAGGCCTTTGAAGTATGGTGCTGGAGAAGACTCCTGCAAGTCCCTTGGACTGCAAGACCATCCAACCGGTCAGTCCTAGAGGAGATCAACCCTGACTGCTCTTTAGAAGGCCAGATCCTGAAGGGGAAACTCAAATACTTTGGCCACCTAATGAGAAGGAATAACTCATTGAAAAAGAGTCTAATGCTGGGAACGATTGAGGGCAAAAGAAGAAGGGGACGGCAGAGAATGAGGTGGCTGGATGAAATCACCGAAGCAGAAGGCATGAGTTTAAATGGACTCCAGAGGATGGTAGAGGACAGGAAGGCTTGGAGGAACATTGTCCATGGGGTCGCGATGGGTTGGACACGACTTCGCAACTAACAACAACAAAAGGCAGTTACTTTAAAATCTCCCTCTGAAAGAATGATAATACCTGATCTACTCACTAAGAACATGGAACGAGTAATATATTATTTCTTCATCAGATTGGTCTCAAATTGGCTTTGTTCCCATTCATACATGATCTCAACTGTATCGTTGTATGATATGAACCCTTTTGAAGCCAGTGTCACTCCAATGATGCCAGACTCCTGAAAACATTTGTTTGAATAGAAACCTGACTTGGGCTATAGGATGTTGTAAATACTGGAAGAAATTGAAATGGCAGTCCTGTGCAAGGAGAACATTTACATCATGACTTCATTCAAGAAGGCATTCTTAGTATAGAGTAATAAGACATGGCAAATAGAAGGGAATGTTAGAAGATTTCAAATTAACTTAGGTTTTATGCTTATGCTAAAACACAAATTTTAACCCTGCAATTTTGGAATTTGTACACGGTATGACCATTGCTGAGAAATGGAATGGCCATAGATCTGGAGAGTATGTAGGTTGCAAGATTCCTAAAGTAATCTGTTCCATTTTAACTTCATGCAGTTTGTGAAACTCAGAGAAGGACCGGGAGAACCCGGGGTGAAGTCAAAAGAGAAATCAGCCCAGAATCTCTATGTAGCCACAAACGGATTAACTCCAACTCCTCTTGAATTCAACGCCAAGATAGTGCTGTTAGTTGAGTAGATTATTGTATATAGGCATAATTATTAATGCAACAATTTAATTGGAACTTGTATTGTCCTGCTCTTTCACGCCTGACAGAAACTAGCTATTAGTGTTTATCATCTGTGCTTTATAATATAGGTTGGTTTTGTATTGTTTTTTGTTTACAAACATATTTAATAATTTGCAAACCACCCAGAGCCCCTGGGAGTTGGGAGGCATAAAAATGATCATAATAACGACACCGGCAATAGAAAATCTATGAATTGACAACATTTCTGTCAATTACAAAACACCACACTGCTTGGAGCTGCCCATATATTATAACAACACATTACAACATCCTAGGTTCCTGGGAAGAACTCAATGCGTATGAAGACCAATACCAACTAAAGAACTGGCAGCTGTGATTTTACATTATTGTGAATAAAATGAAGTCACAGTGAACTTGAATGGATGAATTAAGACATACTATACAAAATCTAAGGAATAATGTCTCGGTCACTCTTTAACTTAAAATTGATTGTGCCATTTTGGAAGTGAGTTCTGTAGCAACGAATCAGATACGATTCATCTTTTCCCTAGATGATTTTTTTTTTGGAAATTTTGTTTGACTTTGTTTGCAGTTTGTTCCTAAGGAGAACTGTTTACTGTGTTGTCATATTTGTAGAAAGAGAAAGATGCTGATCAGCATTCTTCATTGTGATACCTTCTAGATCCGTGATGGCGAACCTATGGCATGTCTGCCTGAAGTGGCGCAGAGAGCTATGTTGCCTGGCACGTGTGGTGTCACCAGTTCCTCTTCCGGGTTTCTGGTGTGCATGCGCACATGTTGTTCAGCTGGCCTTCATTCATGTGGCAATGCTGGAAACTAGAAGGGCTGGTCCCATTTTCCGGCATGAGCATGAGCACTGGCCAGCTGATTGTCACAAGCGCATGCATACCAGAAACCGGAAGACTAGCTGTCCGATGTGCATGCGCATGCTGGAAACCAAAAGTTCATTTACTAGCACACGCATGCCCCCCCTGGGCAGCTCCTCTTCTGGGTTGCGGGCCAGATGAGCACACTCACTCCCTTTTCGCCCTTGGTACTGAAAAGGTTCGCCACCATTGCTCCAGATGTTGGAAATGAAACTTCCATATTTCCATATAGAATACGTGACATAATTCTAAGAATTATTGTAGACACATTCTGGGGCATAGGAAGTTTAGTAAGCTCATTTCCAAAATGCCATAGTTTAACTCTGAGCAGAGTGCACATAGCCATATGACCAAGTAGCTAAAAAGATGGAAAGTTCCAATAGTCAAACTTTAGCAGCATTATTTTGGAATATTGGAGGGGCAATAAGCACAGCAAGGAAGCTGTGTGATGCACAGGGCATTTTGATGATTTTTAAAATAAAATATTCTTGCTCCCCCCCCCCCAAAAAAAAATAAAATGAAAGTTTATGGAAATGACAAACTAAAGAAAAGAAGAAGTATGAATTAAAAGTGACTCAGAGGCAAAATATTTATCAATGAATATGAAAAGGCTTTCTTTTGTCTAATGTAGCTTCTTGTAAATCATGCCGGTTGACTAATATTTTACAAGGAAAATGGTTCAAAATGGTAAAACCCTAAATGGATTTTCCATATCTGGCATCTGTTTGCTTCATCGAACAGCTTCACCATAAGCTGCAGGGATATTTTCCCAGTGGCCTTTTCTCTTCCTCCTGCACACTCTTTGTTTTTAAGAATGTTTGGGGAATGCCAGAACAGTAGGTGGAGCGGGAGGCTGTTATTGTGTTGATTTCCTGAGATTGTTACTTTTGGCGTGGGATGCTTTTTCCTTCCCCCTCCCCCTTTTACAACAGGAAGTAAATCAAAGCCACCCAACCCTTCATAATTCTAGCTTGTTTTCTGTCTCCCCATTTTATAGCACATCCGCACAATAGTGTGATATACGGTATTTGTGCTGCGGTGATATCGGTAAAGGGTTGCCGAACCCTACCAAATGTTGAGTACAGAAATTGTTTTCCCAAGTTTTTTTTCCCTGTGTATTTTCCTGCTGCGTAAGGTTTTTTTTATATATAAAAAAGTTACATTAAAAAGTTATATTCCAGCTACAGATAATCCATGACATGTGACCACAATTGAGTCCAAAATTTCTGTTGCTAAGTGAAACAGTTGTCAAGTGAGCTTTGCCCCATTTTATAACCTTTCTTGCTACCGTTGTTAAGTGAATCCCTGTAGCTGTTAAGTGAGTCACAGTGGTTGAATGAATCTGGCTTGCCTATTGACTTTGCTTGTCGGAAGGTATCATACAACCCCGAGACACTGCAACCGTCATAAATACGAGTCAGTTGCCAAGTGTCTGGATTTTGATCACGTCACCACGGGGATGCTGCAACGGTCATAAGTATGAAAATTGGTCATAAGTCACTTTTTTGTCACTTCAAACCAGAGGTGGTATTCAGCAGGTTCTCTCTGGTGTGGATGAACCGGTAGCGGTGGCTACAGGAGGCTCCGCCCACCCACCCTAATGTAATGAGCGGGCACTGCGCATGTGCAGAAGGGAGTGCGCATGTGCAGACACGGCATGCGCGCTCGCATTTACGAACTGGTAGGGAAAGTAAGTGAATCCCACTGCTGCCTCACATGGTCACTAACGCCACCTTCATCTCTCGTTACCTTCATCTGGAGCGAGTCACCATCGTGCCAATGTCCTCTGACAATGAATGTTCTCCTTTTCTCTTTTGTGTGCAGCTGAAGAGAGGGAGCAGCCGACACAGGATGCCGGGACGGTGGCTGAAGTTCTGGAATCCGGCGACACGACCCCCCCTTCCAAGAGAAAGAGCAAATTTGCCGGGTTTGGCAAGATCTTTAAGCCTTGGAAGTGGCGGAAAAAGAAAACCAGTGGAAAATTTAAGGAGACGTCAGAAGGTAACCTGCTGGACTCCACTTCTTGCTCTTCTCATTTAGAAATACCTTATTTTTCAGAGTATAAGATGCAGAGGCAAATAAAAAAAAGGTTTTGCATTCTGCAAACCTCCCCAAAAAGGCTTGTTTTTTGCAAAAACGGGCCTGTTTTTTTTAAAAAGGGCACGAATAGCCTTTAGGAGGCTTGTAGAGTGTTCCTGGAGGGTGGGGTAGGTGGGCAAAAACAAGGAAAAAATGGCCATTTTTTTGTAAAAACGGGCCCGTTTTTTGT